GGCGCGTGCTCAGACAGGCGCGGGCGACACCTTTGACCCAGGCCGGGCGCCGTAGTCAGCTGGAGCGCGGGCCGTGAAGCATTGTGGGAGAAGATGGCGGCCGCCTTTCGCCCGCGGGTTGTCGGGGCCCTGCCAATGTCACGTAAGTGTCACCGGGAACCGCGGCCTCGGTCGGGATTCCGAGATGCGGATTTGACGTTCGGAGGGCGGCGCCGTGCTGCCCGCTCACGCCGACCCCCGGCAGCCCGGATGCTGCCGATCGGGAGCTGCCTCTCCCGGGTTCTCCCTTCTCTTCGGACTCGCGACAGATTGTGCGCTTGGGAGGGGGACAGCGAACTGGCGCAGCGAGGAAAGGGATGAAGGTGGGACAGGAACGGATCGAGGGCGTCAGAGTTCTGCTAGGGCTGTAAGGGTTTGGCGTTGCGCGGAGGGAGGAAGCTGAAAAGGACCGGGAGAGGTAGAGGCTTTTCAGTAGGCTCTTTATGACCTTGTGCAAACTCCCGGTCAGTATCAACTTCGGGTACTCCATGTCACGATAGGAATGACAGTACCGCAATCTCGGGAGATACTAGACGGTTAAATGAAGTAATATTTATAACCAAAGATGTGAAGGTGTTAGGTCGAGTTGTTTGGGTCTGGAGGAGGGAGGGATGTTCTCGAGCAGTCAATCCGCAGCTTGGTGGAAAGGAAAGTGAAGAAAGGCGAGGCCGTCTTTGAATTTATCACCATTGTTCACTGTCCTTCTGTTTGTAGGCTGGATCTGCTCTCAGTCCGCAAATTGAAAACACAGTGCGCTCCCACTCACCGAGAGGCTGGAAAAGCAAGAAAATTAGGAGTATAGTTTGTTAACTATACTTACCATTCGTTCACCCTCTCTCTACTCCACTAACATGCCCACATTAACTCCTAAAATACACACTTTTCCATAGTGTATTTAGTCGGTACAGAATATCATTTGAGGTCGAAGTTTCTTCACCACTCTTAGAACTATGTGAAGAATGCAAGTAAGGACTCACTGTTGAGATTAGCTCCTTGCAGCCTAAATTTCAAAAAGTATTACAAGTAATCCTGATCAGTCTCAAGTGAGGTCAAGCGTTTTTAGGGGCGTGGTGGCGCCTGCCCAATGGCAAAAGAGGTTTTCAAGGGTAATTTTAAAGTTTTTCTTCTTGAGCAAAAATTCCATACCACTGGGGAAGTGGTAGTGTGTAGGTGGTTTTGTAGCTGTGACTTTTTTTGAAAAGGCATTTGCTGGTTTTTGTTAAACTAAACTATTACATTGGTGTGGCGTAATGTAGACTGTAAATGATAACTATTCAGTACCTGCTATCTAATAACTATAGTTCTTGACAATTTTTTTAAAAGAGGTTTTTGCCTCAGGGCATGTGGATTCACTAGAGAATCTACATACCCCACTCCAGGGGGTATAGCCACTTTGCCATCTTTTCTCCTGTCAGGATCTTGGGTATGCATGCACAAGTGCCCAGCATGATTTTCTTTCTTTTTTGGGGGGAGAGATCTTTTGGTTTACAGCATGTGCATTTGCTAGAGAGACAGTGAGAGAGAGAGACAGAGACAGTGAGAAGGAGAGTAAGAACTCAACCCCCAGGGGGGATGGCCATGCAGCAATTCCTTCTCCTCCATTCTCCTCCTGGTATCTTGGACGGGCATGCATGCACATGTACCCAGTGTGATTTTTAAGCCTCCAGTTCTGGGACTCGAACCATGTTCGGCCATATGTGAGTACAGTGACGTAACTGCTATGCCATCGCCTGGCCCCTAGTTGTCCATGTTTTAAAAGTTTATTTATACCTTCCATGACTGAGTGACTGAGAGTGACAGACACACAGCACCCCCTATAAGGTACTGATCCACGGTCCACTCCCAGCCTTCTACTAGCTCCAGTCATGGGCACATGTGCCAAGCATGCTCAGGGACTCTCCAGACATGAACTGGCAACCTTTCTATGTGGGGTTGCTTCCCAGAGTTTTGCATTTTATCACTGCGTCACCATCTGACCCCAATACAGTTCTAGATGTTTATATCAAAATTTCCTTTAACTTCCCTTTCACTGACACCATAGTTTGTGCTCTTAACCAATCTGGTAAAGTAAGTTTTTGGCTAAACTCCGAAGAGGCAAAACTATTTTGTATCATAATCCAAGTATTATATAGCAGCTACCAAACCTTTTTGGCACCAGGGACCCGTTTTGTGGAAGACAGTTTTTGCACAGACAGATGGGGGTGAGGTGCTTTATGAGAGGGCGCAGCCTAGATCCCTGGCATATGCAGTTCCCAATAGTACTCGTGTTCTTAGGAGACTCTCCTGCTGCTGCCAATCTGACAGGAGGTGAGCTCAGGCAGTGATGATGGGGAGTGGCTGTAAATCCAGATGAGCTTCACTGGCTTTCTGCCGCTCCCCTCCTGCTGTGCAGCCCAGTACCTAATGGCCATGACTGCTCCCATTCTGTGGCCTGGGGGTTGCTATATAGGACAGAACTGTGTAAAAAATTGTATACAGCTAACTGTGGTGAGGCTATTAAGAATCATAGAAAATGAGAAAAAAGAAAGACTCATTTGAAGTAGTGAGGCAAGATTGGAAAACTAGTGGAGAATTGTAGTGCTTCTGCTGATCTCTTTAGGGCTGTTAAAATGTGGAAAGCCAGAGAGTTTGGGCATTTTCCACTAACACAAGGGAGTAAGGGTGAATTGTGAAGTATTTAGGAGCAATGAAATGAATCTGTATATACAGGGTAGTAGGAACCGAGGAGTTAAGAGTGTGTTAGAGAGGATTAGACACTGAGGCCTTGGAAAACCGAGCAAAATTTAGACCAGTTACCTCAAAAATTGGTGCTATAAGAGAAGCCAATGAGATTCAGAATATGATATTAGAACTTAGGGAAAAAATGTTTTCTGGGACCAGCCAGTGGCCTGGTGGTTAAGGCAGCTGGCTCCCACATGACAACTGCACAATTTGAATCTTGGACCTGCTACTTGAAAAGCATATGGGCATGCAGAGGCGTGTGTACCCAAAATCCTGATAGGAGAAGGGATCGTGGCACGGCCACCCCCATGGAGGATTATGTAATTTTTAAACTAATACTTTTTTAGAAGTCCGATGTGGCACCAGCCTCTGGCGTGGTGGTTAAGGTGACTGGATCCCGCATAGCTGACTGCGCAGTTAAGCATCCCAGACCTGGTACCTTGAGATTCCGTGCGCCATGCGTGCATGCCCAGGCCCAGGATCCCAAAAAAGAGGAGAAAGGATTGTGGCATGACTGCTCTCCATGGGGGGTGGGGAGGTTCTTTCTCACTTTTCTTTTTCTTGTGTCTCTGTCTCTCTGGCACGAGCACCCAGTCTCTGGCAAACGTAAGGAGAAATACTTAGTCCAGTGTGCCAGCAAACATGTCTGAGCTCTTGGTTTGGCTATTGCTATAGGAAGGAAACCAGTGCGGATTTCTGAGCAGAGAAATATAGTGAGTAAAGACTATTATTCTTCTAATGGTATTCTTAATAAAGGGAAGAAAATAGGCAAGAGCCAAGGAGGGCAAGGATATTGAGCACCTACTGTGTGCAAGTCATTTTAAGGCATTACCGACAGATGCCTTTCCTTATATTATTAATTTTCAGATCAACCTTGTACATTGTGAGCTCCAGGAGACCAGGTATTTTGTCTTTGATGTTGTGGTAGTCAGAGTTTCTACAGTAGTGCTTATTTCACAGTTGTTGAAACACACGTAAGGGACCAGCAGTTAGCGTAATGGCTATGTCACTGGACTCCCATGTAGTCGACCACGGTTCGAGTCCCGGACCTTGTGGCTTAAACTCACGCCAGGCGCGTGTGCGTGTGTGCCCAAGATCCCGAGAGGAGAATGGAGGAGAAGGGATTGCAACGTGGCCATCCCCCCCTGGGGGGTGATTTCTCGCTTTCTGTCTCTCTGTCTCTCTCTGTCTTTCTGGCGAGCACACGCACCCTGTAGCAAAAACCTCTAAAGAAAAAAAGAAAACGCACGTAACCATGTGAGGTTAGGGGGACCTTATCCTCTGAGGAATTTCGAAGTACTAGGAAATGAAAGCAGCTGTTACTCATGGAGTGCTAACCTGTGCTAGGCATTGTGTTAAATTATTCATGGAGTGCTAGCCTGTGCTAGGCATTGTGTGAAATGCTCTATGTACGTTTGCACTGATCTTCGTAAGCATCATTTGAGGTATTAACTCCTTGACTGTAGTCATTCTTTCCGTTTCATTCTGTGATTTTCCCCTTTTATCCCGTGTCCTCACTTCCTTACTCACCACTCTGGTCATTCCCTTTCAGACATTCTCAACTGCCCAGCCCATCTCTTTTTGTCATAATGGATGCTGACTCCAACTGAACCAAACTTTCCACATCGTGGCCACCCCTGAGCCGTGGAGAATGGGGCTGGGGAAGACTCCCAAACTAAATGGCTTGATTTTAAATTTATGCATAGAAATCACAAGTATATTTTTGACAGGACCTTTTTCTAGAAAATTTGGTTTCCCTTTCTCCATAATCATTTAACATTCCAATTTCCTAAAACTTCCTTTTGTGCTTTTGTCTTATTGTCAGCTTTGCAGGCGAAGGAATCAGCTAAGGATGGCTTTTTTCCGTTATAAAATCTAAGAGCTGACTCAGAAGTCTCTGCCCTCCCTCCTGTTCAGTGGACGAGATCCTTTTCTTCTGACCCAAGGCCAGTTTCTTTACTGTGCTGGATCGCGTCCTCTTTCCTTACTCATTCTCTCTCTTGAATTAGTAATTTCCCCTTCTATGGCTCACTTCCACTGGGATGTAAATACGTTACAGTATCTCTCATTTTAAATAGGAACCCTTCCTTGTCCCTACGTCCTTCTACTCCCATTTATTTCTCTGCCCTTCCAACATCTCGGAAGAATTATCTGTCCTCCTCTGATCGCTTTCTTGCCTCATTCTCTCTCTTACCTGATCCAGTTTAGCTTTCAGTTTCACTAAGCCAATAAAATTGCTCTTTTTAAGACCATCTACAACCAGGCCAGTAGGTGGCATAGTGGTTAAGGTGTTGAATTCTCACATGGCTGACCACAGTTCAAGCCCTGGACCTGGTGGCTAGCTTTTTCACTTTCCCTCTCTTTCTCTTTCTTGTTGGTTAGATTAAAAAATAATAATAATAAGTAAAATCTTAAAAAAAAAAGACCATCTACAACCACTTGTGATACTCTCCTTTTCCCATTTTGCTTCTTTTTTTTTTTTTTCTTTTTTTCTCAAGGTTTTTGCCATTGGGTGCATACACTCATGGGAGAGAAACAGAGAGAGAGAGAGGGAAAGTGAGAAATCACTCCCAAGGAGTGATGACCACACTGCAATCCCTTCTCTTCTATTCTCCAGAGATTTGGGGCAGGCACACACATGTACCTAGTGTGCTTTTCAGGCCGCTGGGTCTGGGACTTGAACTGTGGTTGACCATGCGGCAGTCCAGTGTTGTAACCACTACTGCACCTGCTGCCCCCCTCCTTTGCCTTTCAACAGTATGGGATAGAGTTAACTGCTTTTTCTATAAACACTTTATTTTGCTTTTGGGTAACCGTTTTCTTTGTTCTGTCTACCCACCTCACCGGGCTGCTGTTATTCTCTGTGACTGTCTCTTTGGGCTAGTCACGGACGTCTGAGCTTTGGCTTTCTCATTGTAAAGTGGTGGTAGCATGAGCCTTATTAAGGTAGCACCAGTGTACTTCTCCAGCCGCAGGGTTCCCGACTCCAACCACACGGTCAGCCTTGTGGAAGTGCTGTCTTAACCAGCAGGCTATGGAACGGCCCTGTTATAGTCGTCTTTAAAATCTCTCTCAGAATTCTTCTATCCAGGAACCCTTCCTCAGGAGACTTACCTTGCTCTGTGCTCCCTTACTTTGTATCTCAGTTCCTGTCCTAGAGAACTTTATGCTCTCTTAATTTGTGACTGTTTTTTAAATGTTACTTACCTTCTTAGGTAAATTACATTGTGGGGGCTTGGGGTTTACTTTCTGAAGTTATGTGTCCCCCTGTCCAGCAGATTCTGTGTTGCAATGGTTAGTATGGATGATTGCTGCTGGTGCTTAAATTACTGTGCGTTAACGGGTCTAGGGGAAGAAGCTGCTCGTAGTCACAGTATTCTTGGATGAACATTTGCCGTTTTTGTACACTCTGGGCTTGTTTTAGGTTCTGCCGTTGCTGCAGTAGGCACCTCTGTGTTTCCTGGCCCAGCCCGTCGCCACCTCCATCATGCTGTCATTCCTCATGGGAAAGGCGGGCGCTCCTCAGTCAGTGGGGTGGTGGCCACTGTGTTTGGAGCTTCAGGCTTCTTGGGTCGCTACGTTGTCAACTACCTTGGTAAGTAAAGTCCCTTGAGTTCTGTGTGCTCTGTTGCCATGGGTAGGGTTAGCATGAGATGGATTTCTCTTCATTTTAACAGCATTACAAGCTACTGCTGTCCCTGCATGTAATTTTTATGTGCTGTGGCATTAAGAACATACTGTGCTTCCTATAAAGAACATTAAATGGCAGGGAACCAACAGTTAGCATAATGGCTCTGTTGCTGGACTCCCATGTAGTTGACCGCAGTTCGAATCCCGGACCCGGTGGCTTAAACTTAGGCTGGGTGCATGTGCATGCGTGCCCAAGATCCCCAGAGGAAAATGGAGGAGGAGGGATTGTGGCATGGCCATCCCCCCTGGGGGGTGATTTCTCACTTTCTGTCTCTCTGTCTCTCTCTGTCTTTCTGGTGAGCACACACACCCTATAGCAAGAACCTCTCAAAAAAACAAAAAAAAACAAAAAAAAACATTAAATGGGGATAGGGACGCTAAAAAGTTAATGGCAGCTTTAGCATGGCCAGATATGCATTTTGTTAATTAAGCTTAATATTAATTCATGTATCATACTAGAATTTAAATATTGTCCAAATGGCTGTCGTATAGTAGAACATGTCATGCTGATGTTGCCCCTTGTTTTAATCCAATTTTTTAGGACGTATGGGGTCACAGGTGATCGTGCCTCATCGCTGTGAAGCCTATGACGTCATGCATCTTCGTCCCATGGGCGATCTGGGCCAGATTCTCTTTCTGGTAAGATCTTTTATGACTCGTCATTGAAGTTGACAAGTGCAAACTACTAAGGTCATTTTTTTTAGGAGGACAGGTAATTTTAGTACCCCAGAATAGACCCTCCACTCACTTGAACTTCCTCTCAGCTGGGTTCCTGCACTTCGTGCTTTGAAATGCAAACTCTGGCTCAACCTTTGACAAACTGTAAAGGACCAGGTAGTAAATATATCAGATTTTTCAGGTCAAGGAGTCTTTGTCGTAATTACTCAGCTCTGCCCCTGTAGCTCCAGCAATAGATGTAGGTAAAAAAAAATTTTATAAAAATATTTATTTGTTTAATTCCATTTGTTATTATTATTATTTTTTAATTTGAAAAAACAGAGAGAGAGAAAGGGAAAGTGAGAAAGCAAGCCGCTAGGTCCGGGACTCGAACCTCAGTTGGCCATGTGGGACTCCAGTGCCTTTAACCACCACGCCACCCACCAGCCCCAGTGTAGGTAAATTATTGGAACACAGGCATGGCCATGTTCCAGGAAAACCTCACTTGCAAGGTTAGGCTGCAGGCCAGGGTGAGCCTGTGGCTCGTTGTTCACCTTGCCCTCCATCTGCACTGCTCAGCGCCGTAGCTGCTGGCTAGATGCTGCCATTGAGCTCGCGAAACGTGGCTGGTCTCAGTAGGAATGCGTTGTATGTGTACAGTGCACACCAGCTTTTCACGACTTGGTATGAGGCAAATAATACACATCATTAGGTTTTTTTTTTTTTTTTACATTTGCTACATATTGAAGCAATAGTTTGGATATATTATGTTAAATAAACTACATTAACTAAACTATGTTATTAAAATGAATTGCACTTATTTCTTTTTACTTGTAAATTTGGCCAGTAGGAAATTTATAATGCAGAGAATTCAGAATTACATTGTTATATGCCTCATGTCATGGTTCTATTGGACAGCACTCAGCGCTTCTACTGAAAGAAGTCCCACGCAGGGCATCACGTAGCTTGGGGTGCGTGGCGTAGGCCTCACGTCCCACGGCCCTTCCTGAGCGTTCCCTGTCGTTCCTTAATCCGCAGGTTCTCCCTGTCGACCAGCGGTTCTCAGTGGGGTGAGGCAGGGAGACAGGGTGGGGTAGAGCTTCTCAGGGAGTGAGTAAACATTCCTGGGGCTCTTTTGGTTGTCATGGTGATCAGAGAGTCACACAGGTTTACTAGGTGGAGGCCAAAGATGCTCACTCTGCTCCCAGCACAGTCTCTTTCCACAGAGTTCTGCTGCCCAAATGTCCATAACTTCCCTATTGCTCACTATAGTCTCAGAGCCTGGGTGCTTGAGTCTACTGTTCCTCTAGCCAGCTTCTTTTATCATCTTGTGTGGAGCTATGTTATATATACATTTCCTTTTAAAAATATTTACTGGGTCCAGCAGCGGTGTGGTGGTTAAGGTGCTGGACTCCAACATGGTTGATTATATGGTTTGATTACTGGATCTGGCGGCTTGAAAAATCACAGGCATAAACAGATGAATAGATTGAAAAAGTGTGGCACATATACTCCATGGAATACTATTCAGCCATAAAAAACAAGACCCTGTAATTTGATAGAAAATGGTTGAATATGGAAGATTTATTGCTGAGTGAAGCAAGCTGGGCTATGAAAGAGATTGTATGTCTCTACTTAATATATACCGACTGCACTATTTGGTAGAGACTGAAAGATTGGAGGACATAAAAGCATTGAAAATAGTTATGGACACTGCAGACAGTGTGGAGGGAGGGTGGGAGAGGGGAAGAGTATAGGGAAGGAAATTAGGGGAAAAAAACAGAGGCGAGACATCTGTGGGACATGATAATAGTGTATTACCTATTGATGATAACGTGTTCAGTATTCTCAGCTGGACTGGTCTGAGGTGTATTTCATGTTGGGTAAATTCTGTTTTCAAGCCAAATGATGTATAGTGACTGAATGTATAAAAAATAATAAAACAAAATGAAATTTAAAAACAGGAAAAATCATGTGCATGCCCAAATCCCAGGAGAATGAAGGAGAAGGGATTGAGGTGTGACCATCCTCCCTGGGGGGTGATTTTTCACTTTCTTTCTCACTGTCTCTCTCTGTCTCTCACTGGCAAGTACATGTACCCTATGGCAAAAAACTTTAAAAAAAATCTTTTTTTATTTTTATTTTTTGGGCGGGGAGAGGTTTTTGCTATAGGGCATGTGCACTCGCCAGAAAGACAAAGAGTGGCAGAGAGACAGAAAGTGAGAAATCATCCCCCAGGGGGATAGCCACGCCGCAGTCCCTTCTCCTCTGTTCTCCTCTTGGGATCTTGGGCACGTACGCACATGTGCCCGGCGTGAGTTTAAGCCACCAGGTCCGGGACTCGAACCACGGTCGACTACATGGGAGTGGAGCAACATAGCCATTACACCAACTGCTGGTCCTGAAAAATCTTTAATATATCTGATGTACATACACATTGTTTATAAGTTTTCTTTATATTTTAGTTAGTACCTTTAAATATTTACTTATTTTTAAAGATATTTTCATTTATTCTTTACTGAATGTTCATAAGCCAAATATATTACTACATTGGAGATGTCTTGTTTCTAAAATGTTTTCCTTTTTCAGAATGTGATTCATGTGTCTTCTTGGTATAACAGTGATAGAAGTTTAGGGTTTTCCTAGTTCTTTGTTACTGAAGGCTTTTCAGTGATATTGATGCTCCAGATTGAAGTATCCATATTGTATAGGTAGCAGGTGAAAACGTGGGCCAGTTTGGAAATGTGCAGTTGTTGGGATTGAGGCGTATAACCTTCGTTCCAGTCTTCCTGCAGATGGTGGCTTGTCGAGTGTCTGACCTTGAGCTGAGCGCAGGGCGTGTCTCGACGACCAAGAGCACAGGAACTCCCAATCTTGCAGGCCCGGAGTTTATGAGTGTGTTTCCTCTTGAGAAGGATGGCTCCTTGTGGGTGTGCAGTGCTCATAGCATCATTGGGTCTCCGTTTGAAACCGTGCCTGGATAACCGTGTGGTTTGCCAGGCTGACTGTCCCTGGGCCTTATTCCCGAGACGTGGTCTTCTGATTGCTCTCCAGGGCTCGTGGGTCGTTCTTGCAGCTGGGCCTCAATCTCTTCTGCTCTGAGTCATCTCGGTTTCTTTCTTGCCCACCTCTGGCATCTTTCCGAAAAGCCCTTCTATTTCTTTATGTGTAGAGCTATTTTGTCATTGTCGTTATTGTTGAGCATGTCACTCGCTGTGTTGTAGATTTTATATACATGTCACGTCATCTTCAGAGCGATACCATGAGGTCGGCTCATTTTCTAGTGGCACGTGGGGCTCGGAGGGAGAATTTGTGCACAGCGTGTGCACGGTGGACGGGGTTCGCATTCCTCTGCAGCTCAGAGCTGCGTTCTGTCCTCTTCCTTGTGCCCCTGCCCGCCTCTGTCTCAGCTGTCTATGCTGGGGCTTCGTATCTGTCTTGAATCTGATTGTTCGATTTCTTTCTTCTTTTATAAATTACGCATTAATTTTAGTATATTTTCTCTTTTGTTTCTCTCTTCTTCCTTCCCTCTTTCTTTTTTGTTTTCGTCTTGCTCCCTCCCCTCCATTTGTCCTGGAAGAGTTTCTTTACTATGATCTTCCATTGAAATGCTGGCAGAATTTCTGCTTTAACAGAAAACTCTGTAGCTTTGTCTAGGTTTTCCTAATCCCCAGTCACTGTTTTGGTCAAGTCTGCCCATCTGAGGTAAGTCCTAAATGACTTCCATAGCCTGTCCAGAAGTGTAGCTCTGCACCAGAATCTACCATCGGCTTACCCTGAAGTTTTGGGCAGTTCGCTTCTGTTCAGTTTTCATGTCTTTAAGGGAGAGGTACTGGCAGGTGGTGTGGTGATTAAGGGCACTGGACTCCCACATGTCCTATTACAGTTTGAATCCTGGACCTGGTGACTTGGTTTCTCACTTGTCTTCTCTCTCTCTCTCTCATTCTGTACCTCTCTGGTCAAATTAAAATAAGTAAATAAATAAAGTTAAATAAAATAATTATTAAAAAAAAAGTAGAAGTTACTAGGTCTAGCATTATAAAAGAGGAAATAGTTAAAAAGAAGTAAGAAAAGATTCATGAATACCCCTAATTTAATGCTAGTTAAAAATTATTTTTAAATTATAATTGACATATGTTTCATATATATAGCTATTACATATTATATATAAAAGTGTTATTATTTTTATGTTATTATTCTATGGGGTGTGGTCACACTGCAGTCCCTTTTCCTCTACTCCTTCCTATCAGGATTTTGGGCATGCACAATCATGTGCCCAGTGTGTTTTTCAAACTTCTGGGGCAAGGATTTGAACTACAGTCGACCATGTGGGATCTGGCTCCTTTAACCATTATGCTCTGGGGCCAGCCTAATGGATTTGTTTTTCTGTCTTGATTTAATCATTACACATTGCATAACAATGCTGAAAAGCTACACTCTACCTCATAAATTAGAATATATATTATATAAAATATACTTATATTTCATAAAATACATATTTAACGTATGTACTGTGTGGTGGTGTCCTCCCACTTGTGCGGCTGTGGCTGGGGCACGCCAGCTTTTAAAGTACTTTCCTCGTACCTTCAGTCTGTAAGTGGCTGCTGCCAAAAAGGCCAAGTCTGGTCATCTCCTAAGTGGTCTTGATTTTTTGGCTGTATTTCAGGAAGAGAGACTTGATGGCTGGATTTCTTTAAATACTTGGCAGGAAGCAGTTGGGTGGACAGAAATCAATACTCTCCATTAAAGATGACCAGCCTCTTCTCTAATTTAATCATTTGATTGCTTGAGTAAAATGCGTTTTGACCTAATTTTGACCTGTTTGTCTCCACACAAGTCAGAATCAGCAGGGAGTTTGAGACCTGAGATTCATTTGTTGTGATAGAAGGACTGTCACTGTGTTAGGCCTACAGCAGGTAGCCCGCCGGGAAATGCAGCTGGCAGAGGGTGGCCATCGCAGTGCTGCATGCCTAAGTGCTGCCTCTGTTTCAGGAGTGGAGCGGGAGAGACAAAGACTCCATACGGCAAGCAGTGGAGCACAGCAACGTGGTCATCAACCTGGTTGGGCGTGACTGGGAGACCTCGTAAGTCTTTGCCTCCTGTTTCTTCTTTGCGTGCGTCCATCTTAGGGCCCAATAGACCTTTGGGGCACCATCTACAGGCCAGGCGTTATAGTAACATTTTCAGTTAGTCCATCAGTAAGAGTTGATTAAACAACCATTTATTCATACCCAGTGACACCCTTAGGAGAGTTAGTTGGCAATAAGTCTGGTGAGAGTCAGCCGTGGGACACACTGCCTGTCCCAAGCCAGTGTGGGCTGTGTCCGTGTCACTGGTGTTAACCGCCTGGGCAGGACGCCTACTGTGGGACTGTGCTGGGATCTGCTCATGGGGTGGGATTGGGAAGTAGAGCTTTGCTGCTCTGCTGTTCACCAAGCAGGTGGTCTTATGTGAGCAATGTTCTGGATCTCTTCTATGCGTTGTTAATTGAAGATGCAGTGGGTACTGGTTTGTTCTTTTTAGTCTTTATGTTGGTTGCTTATTAACAAGTTTTTTTTTTTAATTTAAGGATTATTTAATTTTATTTATTAATATAATTTTTAAAAATTTTGCTGTAGGGCACATGTGCTGACCACAGACAGACAGGGAGAGAGTGAAAGAGAAAGTGTGAAAGCAAGTCTCCTGGTCCCAGACTCTAATCAAGGTCAGCCATGTGAAAGTCCAGGCCTTAACCACCATGCCACCTGCTGGCCCAACAAATAATGTTTTAATCCTATAGTTCCAGGGTGTGTGTTCTCTGGAGAGAGACCGAGAGAGGCAGAGAGGAGGAAACTGAGAAATCACCCCCTAGGGAGGATAGCCACACTGCAATCCCTTCTCCATTCTCCTGGTAGGATTTTGGGCACACATGCACACCTGCCTGGTATGATTTTTAAGCTGCCAGGTCTGGGACTTGAACTGAGGTCAGCCATGTGGCAGTCTAGCACCTTAACCACGATACCACCTGCTGGCCCTGACTGGGAGGTTCTTATTCAACTTCACATCCCCTATAACAACTAGGACAGTGCATTGTACCTAGTTAGTCTCTTCTTTTCCCCTCTGAGGGAAACAGTCTGAGGGTAAGAAGTGACACTCCGTCTAGCCCGCAGTACTTCCCGCCTCCTGGCACTTACAGCTGGTGTTTGTAAAGGACTTCAGCCTTAGGATTCCTTGAGAACACAGAATATTGTATATGCTATTAGTATAATAGAGTAATCCCTATATCATGTACAGTAATGACGGTGAGGAAGTCTATAAAAAATTTTTAAAGTGAATTATGGAGGCCTCCGGGTGTCTCAGTGGCTAAGGTGCTGGAATCCCACATAGCTGTCTGTGGTTCGAGTCCCGGACCTGGCAGCTTGCTTTCTCACATTACTTCTCTTTCTTTCGTTAAAAAAATAACAATGATGAAAAATGAAAGTAGTACCTCTCTGGTCAAATTAAAATAAGTAAATAAATAAAGTTAAATAAAATAATTATTAAAAAAAAAGTAGAAGTTACTAGGTCTAGCATTATAAAAGAGGAAATAGTTAAAAAGAAGTAAGAAAAGATTCATGAATACCCCTAATTTAATGCTAGTTAAAAATTATTTTTAAATTATAATTGACATATGTTTCATATATATAGCTATTACATATTATATATAAAAGTGTTATTATTTTTATGTTATTATTCTATGGGGTGTGGTCACACTGCAGTCCCTTTTCCTCTACTCCTTCCTATCAGGATTTTGGGCATGCACAATCATGTGCCCAGTGTGTTTTTCAAACTTCTGGGGCAAGGATTTGAACTACAGTCGACCATGTGGGATCTGGCTCCTTTAACCATTATGCTCTGGGGCCAGCCTAATGGATTTGTTTTTCTGTCTTGATTTAATCATTACACATTGCATAACAATGCTGAAAAGCTACACTCTACCTCATAAATTAGAATATATATTATATAAAATATACTTATATTTCATAAAATACATATTTAACGTATGTACTGTGTGGTGGTGTCCTCCCACTTGTGCGGCTGTGGCTGGGTCACGCCAGCTTTTAAAGTACTTTCCTCGTACCTTCAGTCTGTAAGTGGCTGCTGCCAAAAAGGCCAAGTCTGGTCATCTCCTAAGTGGTCTTGATTTTTTGGCTGTATTTCAGGAAGAGAGACTTGATGGCTGGATTTCTTTAAATACTTGGCAGGAAGCAGTTGGGTGGACAGAAATCAATACTCTCCATTAAAGATGACCAGCCTCTTCTCTAATTTAATCATTTGATTGCTTGAGTAAAATGCGTTTTGACCTAATTTTGACCTGTTTGTCTCCACACAAGTCAGAATCAGCAGGGAGTTTGAGACCTGAGATTCATTTGTTGTGATAGAAGGACTGTCACTGTGTTAGGCCTACAGCAGGTAGCCCGCCGGGAAATGCAGCTGGCAGAGGGTGGCCATCGCAGTGCTGCATGCCTAAGTGCTGCCTCTGTTTCAGGAGTGGAGCGGGAGAGACAAAGACTCCATACGGCAAGCAGTGGAGCACAGCAACGTGGTCATCAACCTGGTTGGGCGTGACTGGGAGACCTCGTAAGTCTTTGCCTCCTGTTTCTTCTTTGCGTGCGTCCATCTTAGGGCCCAATAGACCTTTGGGGCACCATCTACAGGCCAGGCGTTATAGTAACATTTTCAGTTAGTCCATCAGTAAGAGTTGATTAAACAACCATTTATTCATACCCAGTGACACCCTTAGGAGAGTTAGTTGGCAATAAGTCTGGTGAGAGTCAGCCGTGGGACACACTGCCTGTCCCAAGCCAGTGTGGGCTGTGTCCGTGTCACTGGTGTTAACCGCCTGGGCAGGACGCCTACTGTGGGACTGTGCTGGGATCTGCTCATGGGGTGGGATTGGGAAGTAGAGCTTTGCTGCTCTGCTGTTCACCAAGCAGGTGGTCTTATGTGAGCAATGTTCTGGATCTCTTCTATGCGTTGTTAATTGAAGATGCAGTGAGTACTGGTTTGTTCTTTTTAGTCTTTATGTTGGTTGCTTATTAACAAGTTTTTTTTTTTAATTTAAGGATTATTTAATTTTATTTATTAATATAATTTTTAAAAATTTTGCTGTAGGGCACATGTGCTGACCACAGACAGACAGGGAGAGAGTGAAAGAGAAAGTGTGAAAGCAAGTCTCCTGGTCCCAGACTCTAATCAAGGTCAGCCATGTGAAAGTCCAGGCCTTAACCACCATGCCACCTGCTGGCCCAACAAATAATGTTTTAATCCTATAGTTCCAGGGTGTGTGTTCTCTGGAGAGAGACCGAGAGAGGCAGAGAGGAGGAAACTGAGAAATCACCCCCTAGGGAGGATAGCCACACTGCAATCCCTTCTCCATTCTCCTGGTAGGATTTTGGGCACACATGCACACCTGCCTGGTATGATTTTTAAGCTGCCAGGTCTGGGACTTGAACTGAGGTCAGCCATGTGGCAGTCTAGCACCTTAACCACGATACCACCTGCTGGCCCTGACTGGGAGGTTCTTATTCAACTTCACATCCCCTATAACAACTAGGACAGTGCATTGTACCTAGTTAGTCTCTTCTTTTCCCCTCTGAGGGAAACAGTCTGAGGGTAAGAAGTGACACTCCGTCTAGCCCGCAGTACTTCCCGCCTCCTGGCACTTACAGCTGGTGTTTGTAAAGGACTTCAGCCTTAGGATTCCTTGAGAACACAGAATATTGTATATGCTATTAGTATAATAGAGTAATCCCTATATCATGTACAGTAATGACGGTGAGGAAGTCTATAAAAAATTTTTAAAGTGAATTATGGAGGCCTCCGGGTGTCTCAGTGGCTAAGGTGCTGGAATCCCACATAGCTGTCTGTGGTTCGAGTCCCGGACCTGGCAGCTTGCTTTCTCACATTACTTCTCTTTCTTTCGTTAAAAAAATAACAATGATGAAAAATGAAAGTAAATAAATAAAGCTTTTTTTTTTTTTTTTTAAGTGAATTTTGTCTTTAAGTTAAATCATTGTTGTTTAAAAGTTTAACGGTTAGGAATTTCAGAATTGAAATGGAAAGCGTACCCAGAAACCCTGGTCTGCAGTTCTTACTACAGTTCTTTCTTTTCTCAGAAACTTTGATTTTGAGGATGTGTTTGTGAAGATTCCCCAGGCAATTGCTCAAGTGTCCAAGGAAGCTGGAGTGGAAAAACTGATCCATGTCTCACATCTGAATGCTGATATTAAAAGCTCTTCTAGATACCTGAGAAACAAGGCAAGTCGTCAGATAGTGTGGGGGTGGTTCACAGAGCCAGGTCATGGCCCCTGGGATGAGCGTGCTTCACAGAGCCAGGTCATGGCCCCGGGATGGGAGTGCTTCACAGAGCTAGTGTCATGGCCCCGGGATGGGAGTGGTTCACAGAGCCGGAGTATCATGGCCCCGGGACACGATTGGAGTGAGAAGGGTTTCTCATGGACATCCAGAATGGAAAGTGTTTCCGTGCTCACGTCCGGGTGGTGCACATATTATGTTCTGACACTTTGTGTGAGTGCCTTCTGTTTGTAGGGAGCTCGGTTAAGGGGCTTCAGAGCTGGACTGACCATGTTATTGCGGGTCTCAGAGTTAGAGTTTCTTTGGGAAATAGAGAGTTACCCAGAAATCATCATAAAGGTAGGGTATAGTTCTGCCAAAGC